TCCTTAGTGTACATTGCCTGAATATGAATTATACTCCTTCAGAGAGCATTGTTAATGTCAGTCTGAAACACAATGTATTCTAAAGAACTCCATTTCCAATATTCTTTCTTAAATACAGGTTAAAAGGTTCTCAGAAATGTAATTGAGAACCCTTAGAAGACATTATAGGGTATGTGCACTACCAACACAAAAAACATACTGCAGAAACTCCACACATTCTCTTACACTGAAAGATTTCTGTAAAAGCTTCAAGCATGCTTCAGTGTCACTGAGTTTAAGCAAGATATCTGAAAATATCCAATCCCTAAGTATTAATGAATTTCTATATTTGCTTTTTATTAGGGAGATAATTCAAAAGCTTTATTATCTCTAATTCCAGATAGTATGTCATTCAAATTCTTGACACATTTTCTAAAATTTTGAATATTTGGCATCCAAAAATCTGAGATTATTATGATCTCTTAATTACTCAATACCGTTTTCATTTAAAATTGCGTATCTTATGATATCCAATATAGCTATTTTTTTTAGTTTTTAATCTTAAAAATCTAAAAGAAAATTAGAGAAGTAACAAAACATGAAAAAATATACCTTGTATTCAAGCCACAGGCAACCTATAAATAAAATGAGAATTTTTAAGATATGTGCATTTCTCCAACTATCAGGAAATAACTGCTTTATCAAAATACTTCAGAGACTAAAGTACCGGTCTTCATTTCACAGAACTATAGAAAATAATGCTATTAGCATTAAAAAACAACCAAACAAATATAAAAACCCCAACCTAAACAAGTATGTCTGTGACAATTACTTATCTTGTAATATTTTGTGATAAATAGAAAAAGAACTCCTTCAGAGCCCTTGGGCCAAATCACAGCCCATATTGTCACCTGATCAGTTTCAGAAGTTCAGGTACTTGTAAACATTCAAATGAAGGACTATTTTGTATTTCTTGGACAGGAAAGTCTCTACTATGTGCTCTCAATATGCTATCATACTATTTAAAAAGCTGCCTTTTAGTTTTAAATTAGGCATATAATGGTGGTAAGAAGTGCACTGCACTGCACTGTGCTCACATGAGACTTCCCAAAGAACATGTAATGAGAAGTAAAAAACCTGACTGGATTACAGCTGCTTCCCTATAAAAACGTGGTGATCTCACTACTGGATCTTTACACAACAAAATCAATGTACTGTTACAGAGGGCATTTATCTGGAAGCACCAAAGGACCCATTGCAGAAATCAGCAATATGCTGTTTCTTAGGAAAGCAAACAGTAAAAATCACTGATACACTGCATATAAAACTTTCTCAAACTTTTCTAGAAATAAAAAACATGTTACAAAAAAGTATGAAGTGTTAAGTAATTTTAATCTATAATTTTCATTTGTTGACTTTGTTTTTCCTGACCTATTATAATCGTCTACAATACAGTAGGCTCTATTTGAGTTCTTTAGACAATTGCTATCAAAACCAAAATGTCATCACCTCCAGGAAACACTGAGGATCACACTCATGGACAAGCTTTTCACAATCCTTCAAAAAATTCTCAATGGTCTTCTTGTGAGTTTCTTTCATTTTCTTCCAAATCTGAAATTCTTTCTCTTTTTTAACTCTTTGATTTTCAACATCTTCTAGTAATTTCTGCTTTTTCACTTCTAGAGTTTTGAAAATTTCTCCAAATTTCAGTTCAATTATCTCCACATCATTTTTCAGCATCATCTAGAAGCACGAGAACACGAAAACAGATGTAAATGCAATAGCAATGTCCACACAGAGTGACTTCTCTAAGTAAGCTCAGAGCACATCTATGCCACAAGGAGCACCTGTATGCTCCAGGTTGTGAATAAACTACCATTAGACGAGAATTAAAGACATGCACACACATATCCAGCATTTGTAACTCACATCTGCATCATTTGGTCGTTTTGAGATCTCATTCACCAGCTTCTCATTTATTATCCTCATTTGTTTCAGAGTGCTAAAGAAGGTTAACTGCAAGACAATTAAAACACTTAATTACAACTTTATCCTTCCATAAAGTAAGTAATTTCAGTGCTTATCTAGAATCAGATTGAGACAAACAAGGAGCTACTGAAGAGGGTCCAGTGGATAACCACAAGGATGATCAGGGGTCTGGAGCATCTCTTCTATGAGGAGAGCCTGCAGGAGCTGGGCCTGTTTAGTCTGGAGAAGACTGAAAGGAGATCTCATTGACGTACATAAATATCTCAAAGGCAGGTGCCAAAAGGAGGGTGCCAGACTCTTTTCAGTGGTGCCCTCTGAAAAGACAGGACAAGGAACAGTGGCGATAAACTAAACCACAAGAAGTTTCACCTCAACATGAGGAAGAACTTCTTTGCATTGAGGGTGGAAGATCACTGCAACAGGCTGCCTAAGGAGGTTGTGTAGCCTCCCTCTCCAGAGACATTCAAACACCACCTGGTCACAATTCTGTCACCTGCTCCAGGTGACCCTTGGCAGGGGTTTGGCCAGGAGGATCTCCAGAGGTTCCTTCCAACCCTATATTCTGTGATATTCTGAACAATATGGTAAAAAAACTTGTGATTCAAAACATCATTTAATGCTTTCCTGGATCAGTGCACAAACTTTCTTCTGCTGTTTCTAAATGTAATGTTCTTAGGCTCACCTACAATGCATACTGATAGAATGACTTGTTTTCCTCAGGTTTTTTGAACCCCTCCCTTCACATACATCACAATATAAGCTTTAATGTGTTATTCTAGTTTAGCAAAAAACTGTGTGATACTCACGTTTTGCTTTTATGCCTCACATTGCAAAAACAGAGAGCTGTTCATAATCAATATATTTCTGTTTGAGTTTAAACTAATATTATTACTGAGCCTTCCTCCTTTATCTCTCTGCAGTATCACTACATTATGTAGTAGTATGTCTAGTGCAAAGGATGTTTTCCCCTGGATTCCCAAGTGACATACAATTGCTGATGGGAAAGACAGGAGATAAATCAGTGTAAAAGCAACTTTTGTCTTAAAGTATAGTCAGTGCTGTATTGAAACTTTCATACTTGTACTTTTCATCACTGCCTTGCAGTTGTTTCACCTACTGCACAACAGAATTGACATTCTTCATCTCAACTTGCACAGGGCATGAAAAGCTCATTCTATCCAAATAGTTCCTACTTTGTTAAAAATCACAACTTCGACAACCAGGCAACCAACCATTATGGCAGGCAGCTGCCCTCTTATGCAGACTGCAAAGCATCTTGCTTATACATTTATTATTACTCACCCAAACTATCTATTCCTAAATATGTAATTATGTGTGACCCAAATTACCTATTACAGCTACAGAGCCTATAAACAAAACACCTGTGTGCGAGATTTTGGAGTTGTTAGATCTTCCTGAACTTAAAGAAACAACAATAACAAAACCAAACATCAACACCCCTCCCCCCTCGAATGAAAGAGAAACAAACAAACAAAAAAACCCCCCACAGAACAAAAAACCACCGACAATCACCCCAAAATAACTCTCCAGATCCTTCGGTAAATCGGGCTCAGATCTGTTGCTACTGTAATAGCGCCTGGTCCCCTGAGTGCGCTGGGCAGTCTGACGGCAGCCTGGAAAGCCACAACCCGGCAGTCCACCAACAACTCCTTACTGACCCAAAGCAGCACAAGCACTCTGCCTCTCTCCTACCCAGCACCCCGCGGTTTTTCCCGTGTTTCTGAGTACAAACAACCCGTGCCCGGTGGGATCTCCAGGGGACAGCCCAACCTCCCAGCCAGGCCCCTAGAGCGGAGAGCGCCGCGCTTACTTTTTCTTCCTGGTACACCGTGTCTATGAGGTTGACAGAGTGGAAGATGCCCTGATGCTCCTCGGAGACGCACTGCCCGCACCCCGCCTGCCGGCACATGCGGCAGTAGAGCTGCACCGGCCGGCTCGGATGTTTCTGGCAGCTTCCCCCGAACGCCTGAGGGGAGAGCAGGTCGGACCCCGGCTTCGGCCCCAGCGCCGCCTCCCCGGCCACGGCGGCGCCCGCCGCGCCGGACCGGTAGAGCTTGACCACCTCGGCCAGGGTGGTGTTGACGGGCAGGGCGGCGACGCCGCCGCGGGGCAGCAGGCACAGCTTCCTGCACAGAGGACACGGCACCCGGGCGGAGGACGGGCCCGGGCCCGGCCCCGGCGCCCCGCGGCCCAGACGGGCCTGCCCCGGGCTCCGCTGCAGCTGCTGCAGGCGGGCGGCCTCGGCCGAGGCCAGGCACTCCAGCACGCAGCCCCGGCAGAAGTTGTGCGAGCACACCGGCAGCGTCACCGGCTCCTCCAACAGCGACAGGCACACGGCGCACGTCAGGCTCGCCTCCATCGGCGGCGGCGGCGAAGGGTCGAGCGGCCGCCGCTCCTGCTGCTGCTCCGGCCTCCGCTCGTACCACTGCCCCGCCGCTTCCAGCTCAAACGCACCGGGGGCTGCGGCGGGGCGGCCACAGAACACGGGAGCGCCGCGCTCCAAACGCCGCTTCCGTCCGTCAACTTCCCTAGAAGTGCAGCCCGGCCGCGGGGGGTGGGGCCGGGAGACGAGCGCTGACGATAGGTGGAGGAGCAAGATTGACATTGCCTTTCTCCAATAACATCAGGCGAGGCTAAGGGGGCGGGGCAGGAACATTTGGGACCCGCCCCCTGCTTGGCGCGCGGGGTCCTAGCGCCGCCGCCGCCATTTTGTGACGGGCGTGGGCGGGACTCCCGCCTGACGTGCTGGGACGGGAGCTCGGGCAGCGCTTGGAGCTGGGCGCCTTTGCAGTCCCGGGAGGTGGCGCCAGCTGCAGTTGCGAAATCAGGACACAACTTTGGTTTAATATGATGTTAGTAGTGAGCAGCTGGGACAGTGCTCAGCTATTTTTCCTCCCCCACCCTCCCCCTATTTTTTTTTTTTTTTTTACTCCCAGCGCCGTTTGTCCCAAAGTTCTGGCTTAGCAATATACGCCCGAAGTGTTTGGAAGTGAGTCAAACTCAAGAGAGACTCTAAAGAAATACAAAGTTTATTGAAAATCAACATATTTGTAACACGATGTCCATATTTGCAACGAAGCCCTGTACGCTGGAATTACAGTGTTATTTCCAGAGGCTGAGGTGCAAACGGCACAAAAACAACCACGTGTTTGTGCTTTATTCAGTCACACGGAGGGCGCCTGCAGAAAGCGCCTCTGTAAAACATCCAGGGGTCTGTGTCCAGCTGGACACCTTGCGGCAGCGGCAGAAAAGCCGCGGAGATATTTTACTGCACACCCGCACCTTCCCTCACTTTCCCTGAGAGGCTGACAGGAGGTTCGTGCACCCAGGCTGGGAAGGCTCACGAATAGGATGCCCTGAACAGCCCCCAGGTATCTAAAGTAGCGCCACGTTTGTCCGTGGGGCGAGGACTCGAGGTTGGGCTGTGTCATTGTTGGGGGTGTTCCAGGGAGCGCCGCATCCCACAGCCTCACTCGAGGTGCAGTGTTAACCCACGAGTAGTCAATTCTCGAATTGTGCCACCTAAGGTATCCTGGATATACCTCCATGCGCTGATAGTCAATGAATGGTTAAAATGAGATGGGTAAAAATGGAATTTAGATTTTAATCCTCTGGAACTTCTCTGCTTAAAGTTAAATAGTGCTTTGTCTTCCTGGTTTTCCAGTGCATGATTCTAATTTTTACTTTTGTTTCAAGCAGAATAGGGGAAAGACCATTAAGTATGTGAGCAAAGTAAAAGAGAATACAAAAGCACTCTGATAGCGTTAATAGATGGGGGCAGATGCTTAGTCTGGTTGTAACTAAAACAATAATGTTCAAGAGCATAAAATATGAGGTATAGAAGTAGGAAAGAGAAGAAAAAATTCTGTAAAAGAAGAAATCCTCTTGCTAAAAGTAAATAAAGCAAAGTATTTTCTTCTTTCTGATATGGAAGTGAATAAATTCTTCCAGAGCCTGTTGATGAATGTTTGTGATGTTGTGACACTAAACAATAAACAAATGTCTACACAGAATCATTTTACCACTTGCTTCATTAATTGACATTAATCATAAAATCAGAAATATTAATTAAAACTAGGGATAAAACCATGTTCCTCCCAACATTTTTTCCTGTCTCAAGAAAGATTTAATATAAGCAAATGTACATTACTGATTTTGCTGTTCTGTTATGTTAAATAGGGGTCTCTTACAGTTAGCTTCAAATTCAGTTACACACAGCTTCAATTTCTATTTCAAATAGGTTTGCACAGCCTTCAGAGTACATCTTAATAATCTTCTGTATCACCAGCACAGATAGCAAGTAAAGCACTCTCATAATGCCCTGAAGCAAAATGCTGCAAGGAAAAAAAGAAAATCAGCATTTCTGTTACTATATGTTTTCTGAATTTTTGCTTTTCTGGTATGTGACAAGGACTAGACTGCTGTAAGGTTTTGTGAAACATTACATTGTTTTCATAAGGATTCTAGGCTGAGATTTTTCTTTAAATTTCACTTGCTATAGCCTTTGGTTTCTTGGGCACCTAGAAACAATCTATTTTTGAAAGGCTGGATCAGATCTGTTAATTAACTCTTAAGTTCAATACCAAAAATTCATGACCAATTTCGTAAAGTTGCTGCACATCTTGCAGTTGTATTATAGAGACGTAAAAAAGCAAGAGACTTTTTTTTTTTTTTTTACAATTAAACAGATTCAAAGTTTTGTTTTAAGATGCAGACTGGGCATACAAGAGGAACAGGGTTTGTGAGGGTACTACCTAAGCACAAGGATAAAACCAGATATTTACTCCAGTTTTGCACAAAAGGGGTACCAGCCTAGCCTTACAGATCAGGTCAGATCAGATCAGATCAGATCAGATCAGATCAGATCAGATCAGATCAGATGTTATCAGTTAGTGTAGAAACCATTCATTCAAACTCTTGTTCAGCACATGCTGTTATGTATATATGTTTATATACACATTTTGCATCGGGGAGGGATAAAATCACAGAGAGTGACTTGAAAATTAATTTCTCACTTACTTAAATCAAACTGAGGCACTGAAAATGTGCTATTGTTTTTACACCTTGCTTTTTTGTTTGTTTTGTTTTAAATCAAATGGTTAAACAGAGTGATACAGTCTGTGTGGTACCAGGGCTGAATATATGCAGAAGTTTGTAAAAACTTACTTTAATGTCATGGAAGAGTGATTTCCCATATCTCTCTTTGTATCGCTGGCGTATGTTCATCAAGTCTATCTCACTCCTGGCAATGAGAATCCTAATAACTGTTTTATTGTGAAAACCAAAGTCCTAAAATGAAAAAAGAAAATGAGAGGAAACTTGATAGTTAAATAATATGTGCTTGCCCATCTGTATATGCTCATATAAATGTTTAATAGATAAAGACAAGACATACCCATATAGGAAATAAAAGTTTATAGTGTATGAAAGGTTTACCCATAACAGTATCCTAGATGTTAAAGATGTTAAAGGAGTCTAAGAATTTTATCCTACTGAATTTTCATGTACTCAAATAATAGAATTCGTGTAACTGAGTAACAGGGAGTCCCTATATGCCAGTGATTTATCCATGCACTTAAACGTTTTAAAAAGGAAATACGACAAACATTCATCAATATTCCTAGGAATGGAGTTTGTGAGTAGCAGTTGTGACTGTTGTTGTGGAGTCCGTTCAAACTATAATGAGGCCAGTAATCTATTTCACAAAAACTGCTGCCTCATGTGAATTCTGTGAGATTTTAACCATAGCTTTAGAATTTACATAGCTTGTTCAAATGTGTTTTATTTTAACTGTTTCTAAATAAGTTTTCATAATGTAATTCTGTGAAGAATGGGGACATCTAGTGGCAATAAAAAGTCAAAAGAAGTTAGCATAGCATCTGCATGAAGTCCTACAAAGAAATATAAGCATTTGTCTTCATGCAACATTAATTTATTTTTTAAGTTTTAGCCGTACTTATTAAATCTCTACAGACAAAAAAATTACATAGTAAGAATAATGCACATTGAGTTCTGCACAGCAGGAGGAGTTTCCATGCATAGAAAAAAGTTTCCATGCATAGACAGATAATTTTTAAGGTATCTAAATACTTAAACTTTTACTTCTACTGCTTAGGCACTACTGCTTTGAAATTTATGTAGGTACCAACAGTTTTAAAATGCACAATCTCGCCTTAAAGATTGAAGAGATTGATTTGTAAGTACTTGTTTTAGAATAATCAATCAAACAAACAAACAAACAAAAGGGAAGCTTATTTTTATGAAATGTGAGGAAGAGTGGCTACTTACATGAATTGCATTATAAAGCCTGTAAGCAAAGTAGGAAGGCTTGTCACGAATGCAGAGAACTAGGAGAGAAGAATTGCAACAGGTAAACAGATTATTATAAAATAATTTCTTTAGGCTTTGGGCTCCTTGAAATACAAAACTGGACAGTGCTGTCCATGCCTTAGGTTTAAATTAAGCTATCAATATTCAATAATACAACTGTATTTATAATTTTGAAAGTTTGGTGGTGGGTCCTCATTGCTGTTGCATCAAAGGGCCTACTAAATATCACGTCCTATTTGTAGAAATATTTTTATCCTTAGTTTATAAATGAAAGATAAATGTACATAAAGCTTGCAATTTATTTATATACCACCAAAGTCCTGAAAATGTAGCTGGTTATTTAATATGTAAAATCAGTTGGAAATGCAGTTATCACATAAAATTTATTATCAAATAAAATAGATACTAGTTCTGCTCAATCAGAGGCTAGTGCTGCATAGATACATTTTTAGATTAACAGGGGAAAGTAGTTAAAATATTCTTTTCTAATTATCTCTGAAAATTTAATTGCACAATATAGGAGATTAAAGTAGATAAAATATCAGAAAAATAGTATTCTTGATGCACAAGAGATGATATACTAGAATTTATTAAGATACTGCTGCTAGTAAAAATAATATCTTTAGATTACCTATTGCAACCAGTAATTCTTGAAAGTATCCATCGTAACATTCATTAATGGCATCTACTATGTCTTGTCCAGAGATATTTTGGAACTCCTGGAAAACTTGGGGGGGAGGGGTGGAAAAAAAAATCTTGTTTTATTCTAGTTCATTAATAATGATCAACTTTCTTTTTGTGGTTTTTTTTTCCCTTGCTTCTCCCCAGTACTATAACTATTGAGTTTATTTTTTTTACCCTTATTATTCTCAGTGTTTCATTATGTTTATATTGCCCAGGTCAGGTAACCTAAATGAATAGCCTGAAACCTGGCTTCTAGGACATTCTCCCCTGGGCTCTTCAGTCTACAGTATAACACGAATTCATGCCATGTATCTAGCGACATCTGTTTATGACACTTGTAAGAACGTCCCACTCTCGTACGACAACTTCCTTGCTTGGCTTGGCTAGGACTGGCAAGACTCCTGGATTGTGGCAAGGAGCCAGGACTCGCATGACGCACACACCCTCTGCAAGATGCAGATACGCAGACACACAAATATCCAGGGTGTGCTTTCTCCATTATGGAAGGAGGAAAATTATTTTTCTGCTGACTACAAGAAGCACTCCAGTACAGGCAGGGCCCTCAGATCTCAAAAAGAGAGCAGAACATAGAGCAGGTGTGTTAATCCTGTCATCAGCTGAATGAATTTGTTGATCCATGATAACAAAATAGTTCTAAGCTACTGTTGGAAGTTGACGTAAGAAATACAGCTGGCTGCATGGTGATAAACTTGTCAGCAGACAGACTGTTTTTCTACTGCAGAGCAGAAACTCAAACTTGCCACCAGGTAAAATAGGCTTATTTTCTACAATGGAAGATTTGGATGAGCTCACATAAATTTCCTGCAATCTCTAGTTATGTCTGATTTTCTGTTTTAAATAAAAATGGCCCTTGTGTTTATGTTCATTACTGGAGAGCAAATGTGAACTCTGAAGTGCTTCCAACAAAAAGTTCTATGAAACTTCTGGGGAAAAGCTTCAACACAGCAATGTGTTTTCACACCATCCAGCTCTCCCTAGGTGTTTCCCCTCATAAGAGTTGCTTAAGAAAAATTAATAAAATAGTTAAGAAAAATCTCCCTCATCCTGTTGTGTCATGTGTAGACTCAGTGAAGCTGTAACATTTGCCTTTCTTTGGTCATGCATTCTTCTCTGGGTTACTAGGCATCCTGATGCCTGGCCTGTCTACAGCTGTCAGTAGTCATCGGACAAAGTTCTATTTTGCGTTGCTTCCAAATTCCCACTAACATCAGTGCAAGTCTCAAAGCTCCAACAGTTCACACTTGGTTTCAGGATGATGTCCTGCTGCACACTGACTATCTTGGTATGCAAAGCATGGATTTCTTAGTGAGTGACATTTTTCCTTTAAACTCTGTATTCAAACAGCTGAACTGCTGGATTACCCATCCACAGCTGCTGGTGACTCCGGTTGCAGAGAATCATTTGCAGCATGTTTTTGTGTTCGCCTGTCTTCTGCTGACATGCTTCCCATAGTATCTAATATATCAGAAAAAACAAAAAAAGCAAAATATTTAAAGTAATTCCTTAATCACTTTTCAACATTTGTTTTCTGGGTTTTTTAAATGTTTGAGAACTTCACATGTGAGCGTATTCACCATTGCATCCTGAGTAGCTGTAGAAGGGTCTGCATATCCTTCCATCCTTGTTCCCTGAGGGAAAAAAAGAGATACTTATTCTTCAAAAATTAAATCCTAAACCACTGTAGGAATATAAAGTTCTCTGTGTATGAAGCTATGTTGAATTTCTTGAGGTAATATATATATAGGTTGGATCAGTATATTGCATGGATGAATTTGCAAATGTGGACAATATCTTCAAGTTGTCACATTATGTCTTAATTTTCTTTAATAAGAGGAACTCTGGAATGAAAAACAGTCTTGTGAGAAGAAAAAGTGGGGGAAGTAGTAGATAAACCTATCCCATTTTTAGTCCTATTTTAAATAACCTTTTACCTGACCACCACAATCCCACCAGCATTTTCAGAATTATGGATGTTATATTGTTTAATATATAACTCTGAGGGGAAAAAAAGGATAGGAGTAACATTTACCATTCTCTGGTTAGTTCTTACCAATATTCATATTCCCAGCAAAATCTTTTCTCAATGTATTTTTCTTCCTGCACAAACCATAGGAGTAAGCTCATCATATAATAGAGATTTTGCTTGCTCATAATCATTGTCTAAAATTAAGATCCAGGGCTAGGAAATGGTTTGACAACTTTGATACACAAACCCCAAAAGAATAGTTATCATTTTCCCATACATTTAATAGCTTTTCAGTTACACAAACAAAGCTAAATTCTTTAGTAAACACACTATGATCTGAATTATATAGTCAGAAAAAGAGGACACTACTTTTAGAATTGCTTTTATAACCATATTCATCTTGTAAGGACATAAATCAGTCTTGTTTGCAGAACTCTTAAAAAGCTGAAGCTCATGTAATTACTGCCTTAATAATATGTGCTTGAAGCAATTTTGTTTAAAATTTACAGTCGTGTTACCTTATATATGAAAGGAAGGATTAAAATTAGGTATTGGCTGTCAGCTTGTAGAATGACTTACTTGTAGTTCTTTCTTGTTAAAAATGTTAATTTACATGTTAATTAAATGGTGAGAATTTTACTCAGTGAAATTTATAGTAGCAGGATAAATTATCTGAAATGAATTGTGATGGAATGGCTGCATAAAATTACATACACAAGAAAACAAAGGAATAAAGACAGGGCAGTGTACAATAAAATAACTGTAATTATACTCTACATGAGTCAAATGCCTACTTTCTCCAGTAAAATTTGTATAATTATGTTTTAAATTGTAGCAAATTATCATATTTCAATTAATACCCTAAAAAAGTGAATTAGAATAAAATGTCTTTGTCTCAGACTAGAATAATAAGTCACCTGAATTTGAAACTTTTTAAACTCTGTTAATTTTTTTAGGAAGGACCATAACCTATAATTCTAATCTGGCTCAGGCTGGACATGAAAACCATAGATACAATACTATAGCATTGAATAGTTTGCTCCGCATATGTGGAGCAAGTTTACTTCTCTCAGTAGTCTGATTTAATGGAAATCATAAGAGAGGTTTTCTGCAAAAAAAACCCCAAACATTAAAGAATGCACTGGAAATGTCTGGTTATAGAACTAGAAAGGGTATGTTTTAATGAAATATCACTGAATTTTAATATAAGATGATATGCAAGCATGAGTGATTTGATTAACAATCTTCACAAGTTCAGTATAATTGAGTCAAGTTGAAATTTCCTGCAACTCGTCCTTGAGTGAAATAGCTGATTTTGTTAGCCACAAAATTGCTGATTTTAGGCTTCTTTATCAATGCCTAGGTTTTAAGAAAATTAGGACTAGTAATGTATAATAAGAGATTATTTTAAATTTGGTTCATTTGACGGGTGAAGTATGTCCCACGGTTTTAATAATTACGAGAAGTGAGGTTGCTCTTCTTTTTTAAGCAAGAAAAAATTTTCATTATTAGGGAAAAAACATCCAGCATGAGAAAAAAATATTTCCTGTATATAGCTTCTACTTTTGAAACTTCTGTCTTCTTAACTACAGTGAAACCTCCTGTTATTTCAAATTTGTGTAAGAAGTTTTTTTTTCCCAGATATATATGTATTTAAAATATACCTTATGGATGCTGTTATCCCATGGCAGCACTTTATTATTTGTTACTCTGGTTTACAAAAGATTTTAAAGATAATGAGCACAGTAACTGCAATGAGAATGACAAGGATGACCACTCTGTTGTATAAGCTACGGACTGGTAAAACTGCAAAAGTTAGCATGTAAAAGTGATACTTCCTTTGCTTCTGTGCTAGCATTTTGTGATTTAGCATATACAATAGCACAAAGAGTGTTATATTTTAAGCAGTGAACTCCTTAATTCTTTATTTCTTAGTCAAGTATGAATATATCTCAATTTTCACATGTTTGACTGACTTATGATATATTCTGATAATGGAGAAAACATATGCTTTTAAAAATTACAATCACATTTGTATATGCAAGTAGACACATTTTGAGATGAGACAGATAGAGCAAAGGGTCAGCAGATAAATACCAATGGGAATTTATAAAATAATCTGTTTACCTTTGCTTCCATCTGATTCCAAAATCTAAGAGTAGTGATATCCAAAATCTAAGAGTAGATGAAGGAATTCTTTTTCTGAATATATTATCATATATTCATGAAGTTTCTCTTTTTCATTAGCTTCCCTCCTGTTTCTTGTTTAAAAGTGCAGCCCTATTGAACTAACTTTAATCACAATCACCTTAAAATGTAAAACTTATCAAATACTATTGAAAGTCATTATGAATCTTTTAGAAATGTAACTCATAGTTCTTGTTTTTACAGTACCTGAGCAAGGTTCATGAGTGTATCTCTGAAGTGACCTGAAGTCTCAGAATCAATATCTTGTTGAAGATCAGTGTTATATTCTAGGTTAAACCAAAAACATATAATTTTAAATCACAAATGAACATGCTCTTAATAGTACAAATGAAGATTATCAAATAAAGGATAAATAAGCTTATTCTATTCTAGTGTAACCTGGGCAGGTTCTACAAGGACCCTGCTCTGGGGCTGGCACATCCGTCTGGCCCTGCTGGTGGCCCTTGGCCGCTGTCCCCACTGGCCTGCCCACCCACCACATTGCTTCAGCCTTTTCTAGGTAGGTATGGGAGAGGATGTGGAAAGGGAACCAGTCTGTACTGAGGAGTTATTTTTGTAGTTCTGTTCCTTCGTGTGTGCTAATATCTCCAGAACACACAAAGTACAGCTGCTACTCTGCACTTGGTAAAAAAGCTTACGCATTAGGTAGGCTTCTTTCATCTGAAAGATCTCCATATTTGATCTTGAGGCTAATATGTCAATTAGACATTTTTCTTCTGTGTCTACTCCCTGTATGGAAAGAAGTAAATATGAAAAGATGTTGTGTAGTAGAAACCCCAATTTTTAGAATAAAGCAATGCTGTCCTTACCAGAAATAACAAAATAATAGCAGTTTCTGTACTGTACTTTTGCATAATTTACCTATTCAAATTGCTTTAATAGTAAACCCCTGTATTTCAAATATATTTCTAAACCTGAATTTCAGCATATACCATAGCAAGTGGGAAGTGAAGCAAGACTAGTGTTGACAAAAATGTAATGGGAATAATTTTAGAACCTTAGTAAGATTTATTGTTTGCTGAAAGAAATCAGACGCAAAAATTGAGCATACATCCCTAGCAAGTGTTCAGGAAATCTGAAGTAGACATGAGCATATGTATTTAGTTGGTCTTCTCTCTTCCTATCATCTTATTTTTTTTTTTTTATTTTTTTTTAGGAATGCTATAGTCTGTAATATCTAGCACAGAACTTGGTATTAAAGGAAAGCATCGTGGGGTAAATGCGGTGCTGCAAATCACTATTTTCACACAGGGTTTGAATTAATTTTATAAAATTCAATTGATATAAGATGTGGTGCATGTGCTGCTTTTGATATACATGTGGATGGTGTTAATGAGAATTCTGCATTTGGGATAAAGGGAGAGCATTAGAGCCCATAGATACACATGGGCTTCTTTTATTTTTACCTCGACCATATGAATCCAGGTCAAGATAGAGTACTGTAAGAAAGCTCAAGATTCACATTTAGGAAAAAAATAAACTTTGGCAATTTTGTCAAAAATGTTAATGAAAGATATGATTCCTTTGTTAGCAATGATATTTCACAATCCTTTTAATGCTAACTATAATAAAGACATACCAGTAGTACTAAAAATTGATTTAAGTGTCTGAAGAACAAGAAAAAAACCTATTAACTCTTTTTCTGAGGGGTGGGAAGATTCTCAAAATTGGCAAGATAAATCATCTGGCCCAAAGTCTTGTAGTCTCTGTCTTGTGACAGCAGACAGTAGCAAATATTCATGGAAAGAAAAGGAAAACAGTGTTGAACTCTGATACGCCTTCCTGTCTTTTAGGAGTTGGTAATTCGGGAATTTCCTGAGAAGAATTATTATTTTCAATAACCAACAGTCAACCTGGTTTCAAAGAATATATTGAAGTCCTCTATGAACTAAGTTGTGCTTTTGGTCTCCACAATGTCCTGTGGGAATGAATTTCATCATTAAATGACCTGATATTTGAAAAAATGTTTTGGTTCACAAACTTCAGTTATGTGAGGATTGCAGTCTCAGATCCAGGGAAGAAAAGGAATATTTCCTTCAAAATGTGAAATCAGTTCTGTTTCAGTGGAGTTACTATTACTTTGTTGTACGTACACAGTTTGTGGTCATTAGGAGTGGGGCTGTGGCTGAGCCTCATCCCAGTGGGTGCAGCTGTGAGAAGCAGGTGAGCAGCACTGGCAGCAATGAGCCATGGAGTGCCCAGGGGCACTGACCAACCACCAAAGGGAGCAGAGGGCACACAGGGGCAGTGCAGGGACATGAGGGGTATAAAAGGTTGGCTGAAGAACAAGAAGCAGCAGATGTTTGCAGCCTTCTGAAGTGGAGTGGTGGTGGTCTTTATGGGCAGATACCAGAAGCCTTCTGATGAGGTATGGTGTTACTCTGTTTGGGTGAATGCTTAAAGCCTTCTGAAATAGTATGGTGGTGCTCTGTGTGTCATGGCCCTCTTGACTATGCAGTATGACACTTTGTCACAGGGTAATTAGTAAGCGTTTATGCAAAGACATGTTCTGCTAAAGAATTATTGGTCTTTAGAGAGGTGGAGCTTAAGTGCATGGCACTGGCTGTGAAAATAAATTTGGTTTGTAGGATACTTAAATGCTTCCAAAAAAACCAGCACCTTGCATTCCCCTGTATAAGTCTTCATTGTCTGAGTTTACCATGGATGTTAAATGCTTTGTATATATTCCATGGCAAGGATACTTTTTAATGCTGATTTTAGCACAGTAATGGATAAACTTGAAATAGGACTGTATTTCTGATGACTAGTGATAGTACACTACTCCATTGAACTAACTTACAGTAATCTATCAACCAATGAAATGCAAAAAAAAGTATGTTCAGTATGCTACTTAATGACTGCAACTCTAAGCAATTCTGAATATGAGTATTACCTTCAAGGCATGCCAAAGCTCATGGGCATCATAGGATGCAGGTGGATACATCAAGCCAACCATAACTTCTTTAAAGTGATGAGAGAGATTCTCTTTTAGGTCTGTTATCAGATCCTTGAAAAGAAAGAGAAAGAGATAACCCTAGCTGTGCATTACAGTCGCTCTTTATTAAGGCAGCTTAAATTAGTGGTTTTATCTCTAAATGATTAAGGATGAACTGTCAAAGATGAATCCTGGCTAAGATTAAGTAAAAAAAAAACCACCTCTTTTACGTAGTACATGCTTGTTCTACTAGTATGAGTAAGATGAGAATAGGTGCACAAACCAGTAGGCCACAATGGATTGTTGGTTTTCAGTTCATTAGAGCAGAGAAGAAAATGCAGATGTTTAAGTGCAACTATTACTTAGTTTTGGAAAACTGAATATCACAGCAGAGCATCTGCAGCTTCCCTGTGTAAATCTGAGAAAGGTAAGCACATTTGGAAGATCAAGCTCATAAAACACAGGTGGTTTCTTTTGATTTTTTTTCAGTGTTATCATGTGAATTATTTAAGAAAAATCATCTGTATTGCTCCGAGTACATAAAAAAATAGCTTTGGATAGCTGGAAGGTTATGTGCTTCAATTCAGTTATGTTTCAGATTCAAACTGAATTCATTACTTTTGATAGATGCTGGATTGGTTATATGGAACCACCTTTTTCCTCCTCATATTTCTCAGTTCTTTCTTGCTAGATAGCTGAATAATAGATCAGTTTCCTCTCCATTCCTAGTAGCTTCCTTCAAAACACTGCAAATGCCAACAGCTTGTTAACTTACTAGTAGTTACTGTTTTTGATTGAGGTCACTTGTACTGTCTTTTTTTTTTTTAATTTTGTGTGTCGCACTAGACACCTAGAAGATGTTCTAGTCTGTCTGAATTGAAAAGCATGCCAGAAACAGTTTCTATTATATAAACTAGTATGTTTCCAGAGCTGTGTTTTTTTCATGCCTATACTTTCATTTTAATACGTTTCTGAATATAATTAATTTAATAGCTAGAGTAGCAGTGAAGGAAGACACATGCTTATTAAAAATTTAGTTTGTGATGAAAAAACATATTCTTTGGTGAAGGCACTTCAGATTCATTTGACATCCACTAAATCACACATGGAATAGACATTAATTCAGTAAGACATTTTACTTCTGACAACATGCCTGTGGGAAAATAAGTTAATAATACAGATGGTTACTACTAAAAAATTACAACTGCAATCAGAACTAAGGGAAGTATTAGAAATAAGAAAAGAACTAAGTTATTTTAATTTCCTAATCATCATTCCTGTAAGAAATCCTTGGAGGCTAATTGTAAGAAGGAATCTTAAAACTTCTCTGTATGTTTGAATCACACAGCTAGTTCAGGTCTCCTTTTAATTTTTTAAATATTTCTCTCCTTCTAATGTGTCTCAGTTTACATTTGTCTAATGAATGGGCATAGTGACTTCCATATTGAGCAGACTGAAGTGGAATAAAGAGGGAAAAGGATTGGACCAACAGGTTTACCATAAATTGAATTGAGAAGGTGAAAACTGCTCTTGCCTTGCCATGTCTCTTCTCTGTCCTGTGATGTTTACCATTCATGAACTGGGATTGCCAAATGATGCATTTGTTCAATGCAGTATAATCCAAATTGCAGCCAGGGAAGTGTGATGTGTGCAAAATTATCTTTCACAAACTAGAGCAATTTAATGCAACATAGGTCACATTCTTGGTGGGGTTTTTTAGAAACTGTCAAGAGTATAATGATGTATCTTGCACTGTAAAGTGTACCCAGTGCTTAATGAATTAATTGGAATTAAAATTGAGGCTGTATTGGAGTATGTTCCATGATTTTTAGAGCATTCTGTAGCCCATTGCTAGAATATGAAAACAGTTTTCTTGCCTTTCCCTTCTATTATTCTTAGATTTAGAGACTGAGATTATTAAAAAGGACATCTGAGGTTTTCTTTGGCTTTTTCCTTTCTTTTAGGTATTTAGGTCTGTGTCCATTGTTTTTATAGCCCTTCATGTTAACTCATATGGCTGAAAGAGATATGACTTTAAAGGTGATATATTTTCAAAGGGACTTGATTTGTTTATATTTTTATTTTGGCTTTGAAGAGACAATTAGTGGTGAGCAAGTCAATAGTTGTTTTCTGTATATATAAAATAATTGTATTCCTGAAGGACATTTGCCAAGTCTTTATTGTGATACAGTATTATCTCTAGTTCATCTTCATGTATCAGACATCAGAAATTAAACATGAGAACACAATACAAAGATTTTCAATATTTTCCCTGGTTAAAGTGATAGGTCCAGTTGATATACTGTAGAGAAAAGGTTAAAACAAACCAGGCAGCTGCTATGGATGAAACAGAGAAGGACTGTCCAGTGGTGGAGATAAATCAACTCTTGGGAAGAATGGGCTTGGGTGCTTCATGTCACAGGCACCTTTGGGTAGTTTGACATGCTTTAGATTTCTATAAGTATCATTAAAACTTGGTGAGGAATATTGCATAGCTAAGCACTCAACTTGTCTGGTTTGCATGTGTAATGGTAACCTAATAAATACCTCATAATAGAAAAAACAGGTTTAATAATTTAGATGCTGATTTCTATAATTGTCACAGTCTCTGGAGGGTGGATAACTGATTCAGTTATTGTTCTTTTGTAGTATCTATAAAATATTCACGCTAGTTTATGACTAAAATATCATGATTATTGTGTATTTCATTTTTTCTAACAGTCCAAATAAAGTCATTGAACTCCTGCAGGTAAGTAACAACACAAAATCAACCCACTACACTGGTTAAATCCAGCTCTTTTTCCTCCAGTTCTAGGACAGTAAATGGGTGTTTGAGCTTATCCAGGGGTCAGTGGTTTTGAGGTATTTTAGTTTAGAGTTGGCACAAAGACTGTCTCTAGAAAACTTCTTGGCCACCCAAATGTATTCTGCTGGTTAATGAATTGGTGGTGTAAAAGCACCACATAATGTGGAGTTTTTGAATGAACCATTTCTAGTTAACCCAAATTAAAGGAGATTAAGCAATATCTCTGGTAGTATTTGCACAAACTCATTGTTCTCACTCATGCTGATCAATGGCAAGCAGATACTGGCCTACAAGGAATTTTCTAGTGAGCCCTTAGTTTTACAGGCTTCAGGAAATGAAGAAAATAGATTTTGTTTTAAGTGTTTATCTGCCCTCTTTCAGAGGAAGGGCATGTCTCATCAACTTAATAAAATAGTATCTAGTTTTACACTGTGCTTTGCATGACTTGCGCAGGAATTTTTCAGGGGGTGTTAATATTATTTTTGTCCTTATGTAGCTGTAGCAACTAAGGAAAATGCAGGCACTGCAGCTTTCCTGGTTACTTGGTTAGCAACTGTAGATCTGGAAATAGAATGAAGATATCCATCTCTGTGTACATTTAAGAACTTGGATAACAAAAATTCCATTGTTATATACAGTAAATATAGCTAAAATACAGTTTTTTAAGAAAATAACTTTTTATGTCTTAATTTTTAAACACTTTCCAAGATCATAACACTAACATTAAGCAGCCCAGATGACTATTGTGCTTAGTGTACAGATGGGACTATATGGAATGAGGTGTGAGAATATCATGCTTGAGAGGTAAACACTAATCATTATGTATGATAAAAAGCCTGTAACTCTTTGTATGGTGTTTTTCTTTGGTTACAATACTATTTTATTATTTGTTCCAAAAACTTGAAAAAGGTATTACAAAATGGCCCGAAATCACAAAGGAAGAAATAAGCCTGCTCAGATATTTTAGGTTGGTCAATAGAGAAGAATGGTCTGTAGAAGAAGGAACTTTTCCTGTCCTTTTCTAACTCTGTGTGGCAGACAATGCTTCTGCTGGAGAAATGACAATGTGATACCATTGGAGGTATCAATAGCCAATGAGCAAATTTGTGCCAAACCCATTGCGTCAGCAAGTCTGGCGGGTTTGTGGTTCCAGTGAGTGACCTGAGAGAAGGGCTGACAGCTGCACAGGAGACAGGAGAGAAAGAAGTAATAACAGTACAAAATGTTTCTGTCATACCCTGCCATACATGTCTCTGTATGCCTCAGCAATCATGAGCCGCTGGGAGTTGCAACGCTGAGTTAGGATTTCAATCAACACATCTTTCTCACAACCTGAAAAGGAAATGACACAGACTCTATATTAACAAACTGGTGTTAATTACTTAGATTTGTGATTAGTATAATGCTCTTAAACAAAACATGACCAATTTTTTGAATGAAAACTAATAAAGAGGCTAATACCCCCCCTAAATATTTACCAACATCAGTTATATTTACTGTGCTTGTGTATTTTGCACTTGCTGGTGTAATGCCATCAAAAAGTGAAGCAGTCTGTTATCTCATCACCTCTCACAAGCTCAATGGATTTGAAAGCATCAATAAAACAGGGGCTTTCATGGATTCAGAACTAAGCCTAGTAGCAGGATTTGTGGCTGAGCCTTGGATGTCATACTTGTGCATTCGGTTGATATTGATTAAATTGTCATTTAAGAATTGGGGATCTTTTATGGGTGTTTTATTGAAGGTTGCTTATGATGGTTTGCTTGATAGCTAGAACATACTAGTAAACATTGATAATGAATCGGTATTATTGCTTATGAAAAATATTATGTATTCATAAATTATTGTGGAATTGAAATTTTTTTCATCCTAAGGCTTGGGGTACTGTACATAATGGTTTCTTTTTACTTTTCAGAAAATAGCTATCATTAGGAATCTTTACAGCTTACACAGTCTCTCTAGTAAAAAATGAGAAGGATCCAGGTAGAGGAGATATTATTAAACTTTATTTACTTGTGTAGTACCACTGGTATCAGTGACACAGCATAGATGACTGAGCATCCTCATAAGAATGACTGCCATGTGCAGGACTGAGGGTCAGAGTGTCAGTGGCTGTGAAAAATATGGTGACTTTACCGTCTCTAAAGATGAACTGTTTATTTTGTCACTTGGTCTTTAAATTACAACTTTGTTCCACGTACTTTGATAGGAATGTTAAAATTAAGGTTGGTGTACTTGGAGTATTAAAGGAAGGATATAATCTGTATACTTTCATGTTAGCAACATTACCTTAAAAGTAAGTGTAGGGAGATGTTTAAAACTTATCTGTATCCAATTTGGCCATTAAGATACTTCAGATCCCTCTTGATGAGTAATGCTTATTGTGATTCATTCGACATTAAATCCGAGTCCTCACGTTTTCATTAAAGAAATTGAAAACAGCATGCAAGATTTGGTGCTGTACAATCTTGTGACTAGCCCAAGGGGTATAAAAGCTGATACAGAGAACAGTTTTAAAGTGAGGAAAACATTTCAGTTAAAAAAATAGATCAATATTTTTAGCCTCGGCAATACCAACAAGGTTCCATAGGAAAATAAATCTGAACTGAGAAAAATGCTTTTGTGAAAAACAGTTTTTTGGAACAAATACTGAAATCAAAAATGGCGAAGATAATTAATTCTTTAAATTTTCTGCTCCATTTGTTTTTATTTCTTATGACTCAATAAGAGACTTGGCAGACATTGGTAGCACTTAATTGTTGTAGTTACAACTAAAATCCTTTCATTTCTTGGCCCTCACTCTAGTGATGCAAGACAGAATTCTTTGTTTTCTCATTGAAGTGTTCATTACTGTAAGTGTTAGTATGGATTTTAGATTAATATTGATCAACTCTTAGTTCCTGTAAATGCAAATTATTTTTTTGGACATCATCAGTATGTCTTATTGTGGTTCCTTGAAGAATCTGCAGGTAGGTGGTGACAATTTTATGAGTTTATTTTTTGCCTAATGATTTCTGAAAAAAGGTAAACTTCTGTTAGAATCAGTCAAGGTACTCACTAATTCCCTGTAGAGCTCCTCCTAGCACCTGGGCATCCATTATAGGGTTAAAATTTGGAGCAGGAAGAATTGTTCCTTGTGTCTACAAAAGGAAAAAGCAGACTTTAATGGAAATGTCTAACATTTTTCACATGATAAATGTAATTCTGTTGCAAACCAACAATCATAACTTTAAACTTTCTTTGCTTTGTGGGGAGAAGGATATATAGTTTTTAATTTTGAAACAGAACTTGAACTTGCTGTTGACCATAGGCAGATGGACCGTATTGGAGGAAGTTTCCTCTAGCATGAGTTAGCCCTGATAGGAAAAAAAATGGTGAGGCTTTACCTTAAAATGTAAATCTCTTTGCCAACCTATTTAAAAAATATTCTTTTATATTTCAAAGTTAATCCATGTTATCCCTGATGGTCTTCAATATTTATTCCTCATGGTATTTCTAATTTGAGAGGACTAATGAGAAAATGATGAATGAGATCCATAGGTTGTTTACAAACCTGGTGATTTATTAAAGCAGAGATATTACTGCCAAGTGAGGTAGTTTTGAGATTGCCATAAAGACAATGCAATTTTTCTAGTTGCTTTGTAACTGATTAAATTGCTAGCTCATTCTCAGTGATACTTTATTTATTGTATTTTTTCTTATTTCTAAAAAATTTGTGAACAATAAAACCTAATTTTAATAGAGTCACAGACCAATACAAACAGAAGAAAATAACTGAAGTTGACAGATAATTAGCTCTATCTCCTGGTTACCCTCTTTACTTCAGCTGAGAATTCTGTTTTACCTGATGTACCAAATATAAAATTTATTTGATGATGATTCCTGAACTTGGCATATCCAATTAAAATGACACCATTAACTTCATATTTATGTTTCAAAGAAAAATGGGACATATTTTATAAGTATGAATGGGGTATTGTTATAAATACTTCCTAGAATCAGAGCTAACATGAATTATGCTAATTAATTTGCTTGCTTTACATATAATTGAAAGTCTTTTGTACATTGTGCCTTCACATATGATCACATACAGACAAGTTTTATGCATGGCCACTAATCACTATTACCTGGCTAGTCTAAGCAGAGGAATTAAAAAGCATGGAACAAGGATTGTGTATTTCAGCTGAGAAGGAAGACACCATTTCTTGATACATTTGATCATTGCTTTGAACCCATCAAGTAAAGGTAGGAACAGGGTAGGGTAAGGTAGGGTTTGACTATTAATTAACAAAAAATTATATAATTTGTAACCAGTGAATGTATGCCTCCGTTGAAATGTATTAACTCTGTGGAGTCCTCATGATCAGAACAATTTTTGGTCTTTTGTGGGTTTGCCATATAGCTCATTACCTTGTGCAAACTTGAATTAAAAAATAGAAATACTTCACCTCGGTGTATGAATTGGTGTTAGTGCACCAGCTAGTGAGCCTGCATTTGGGACAGCAGCACTTTGGTCCTGTGGCAAGAAGATGCTACACAGCAGGTAAGAAGGAAAACCTTGCTTCTAAAGTAATGCAAAAAATCAGGTTTGTTTTTCTGAGGAAATGATCACTCTAATGCTCTTTGGTGGAGTTATCTGGGGAGGAGGAAAGGTGGTATAGTTTAAAGTTGTTGAGCAAGACTTAGAGTGATGTCCTGTAGTGAGACAAACTTGAACACTGGGGCAGGCATTTTGTTTTGCAAAGATTTGTTACAATCTTGTCATACTTTAGAAGCATCTGTGCTTACAATGTTTTTAGCTCAAAATAGCTCAAGAAATTGTGGAAATATATCAAAACAATGTTATAGTAAGAAACCTGGGGTTCTGCATTGAGAACCTAGGGCTCAAGGTGAAAAATCATGTTTCCTCAAATTATACAGGCTTTCCCTGCCTAAATATGCCTAGGAAATGTCTAACTAGCACCAATGTTCATCACTGCACAAACTGAGGGAGCAGAGCAGTAGAGGCATTTGGTAACTGAATGAAATTCCAACAGATTGGATTTTCATCAGGGAACAGGTAACTACCTATGTTATTTCTGACTGGAGAATTTCTACTGCCCTGTTTTGAAGTGGGGCATTTTTTAGGATTGATGTAACACCTTAGTGTAGTTACATGTACTGCTATCTCACTTCATTCATTCCCACTGAAGTCAGCTTTGGCTAACCCCTGTAACAGAAGAAAGCTCAGTGGAGCTGAGCAGGAGCAGTGTGCCCACAGGTTTCAGGGAAAAAGGCAGGATGTGACTGACTGCAGCTGATGCAAAGAAAGCTTATTTTAGCTCAAGGCAATGCGGACTGAGTGTACCTGTTAACATTTGAGAGGATGAACTGGTGGTATAAGTGTTTACACCTGACTTCACTAAAACAGTGTCAATGTCTTCCTGACTTGGCCTGATGAGCATGAGGGGAGTGGATACCTGTCTAAGCCCAACACAGAGTAGAAATACTAAAAAGGTAGCAAAATAATTTGGAAATAATTTAAGACAGCTTGAGCTGACTTAAACCCATAAATTCCTTTCCTGTGATGCCCAGCACTGCAGCAGAGAGCATATAATGAAAGGCAGTAAGGTAGCTCTCATCTGTATTATATCTGTTATGTTTTCAGTATGTTTTGTAGTTCTCTGCTAGAAAAACCTGTGTAAAATCACGTAACTTGATATTATATGTTACAGCCTCTATGGGTGAAATATCTGAAATAACTTAGTGAGAGTACTGGACTCTGACATCAGGATGACCAGTTTTGAGTCTGTCCACTTTTGTTTTACTTCTGCAACAACTTTGGCTTCCCTAAGCTCTGGAAAGCATAGGAAAATTACCAGTATGATCTCATGATTTTTCTTCTGCATGCCTTAAGATGGTTCACTACAGGGATGAGCAGAAATTGGTCTTCATTGCAAAGTTAAATCTACAGAAGTGAAAGTTGCATTGTGGTTGTCTTGGTGATGTCAGAAGTTTATGTTCACTGAATATAATTTCTCTAAATACAATGCTCTCCAACCCATCCACACAATTAAAACAAATTGTGACAAAGTAACAGAAGTTTTTTTGTAAGTTTGGAAGAGCAGGGACATTTTTGCAGTACTTAATATTCTTATTAGGAGAGCTGTATCATAATTTCAGATAGCATCAATGAAAGTATTATTGATTTCAGGGGGCTTTTGGTTCCTACCCTTAGTGAGTAAAGACTGGGGTAGGTGGCCTACTAACTCTCTATTTAAACTAATAATTCTATAATTTTTTTTCAAATAAAGAAAATAACAGGAATTTCTCCAATAAAAATTTTAAAATAAGTAAATATTATCAAACACCTATTGGTCTCAGTAATGTGGGATTGAGTGATAAAGAAACTTGCATTATGCTCTGGCTATCAATTTGTTCTGTGAGCACTGCAGATTACAATGGCTGGGTTTTTTTTCCTGATTCTTCTGTCTGTTTCTCTATGTACTTTATTTCCTCTTCTTGACCCATCTAGGAACAAACCATGGGGCTCTTTCTAAGACAACCACTGGCTAAGTGAAATATGGTGTGTCCTATGACTGAGTCCAAAGTCTGGACATGTTATTTGGCTAAAGCTAGGCCAATGGAAGAAATGACTCTTGAGTTTTAGCTGTTGTATTTTTTAACTAGTAATAGAATTTAATTCCCTTATCCCCACTGAACAGTGTTTCCACAAAACTTCATAATAGGTTGCATTCCTCTACCAGTATGATTAAAATGTATTATGAAGTTCAAAGTTACAGCTAGGAACAGGTGGATTTATGATTATACATAAATAGAGCCACATTTTCTGAAGAAAACAAAGGAATTTCCTTCATTTCTTCATTTCTGAAGAAATGAAGGAAATGTCTGGTATAGTCACTGAAAGGATGTGAAGACGTGTACAATTTAATTTTGATATTGGGATTCTAGAATCCCTCACAACATAGTCATCATTTTACTGGAGTTCTTATTGCAAGATTAGGATTCAGCATGACAGACTTTTCTGCATTATAAAGAAAATGTCTTCAAAAGGCACCAGAGGAAAGTAATTTCCAAGAGCAATTTAACCTTTTTGTGAGTTAGTTTTGACAAATTGTTGTATGTGAACATGGATAAATGGTTTTTATGCTGTCTTTCCTCTGCAGCATCCTAGTGAAGGGGCTATCTCTTTTTCAGAGGGAGAAAATAAAAAGTATTTTCTTCTTTTTTTCACAAAGTGTCAAAGTACTTTATCAGGCAAGTAAATCTCTAAAGGTGATTCAGTGATTTTTTTTTTTTCTTTTACATTAAGGTATTTAATCATATCTGATCTCAGGATACCCTCATGTTCAAAACCATAAATCTGTCTCTACAGAGTTGGCCCAGGTGGGCATGTGTTTTTGCACATGTTCTTTTAGTTCTCCTGTAAGAAACTGATTCCAAAATAAGGTGAGCAGACAAAACAGGTTTGTGTGGTGTTGGTGGAATGAATCAAAACAACGAAAGATTGGAAAGGGTCTGAAATTTATAATGGTTCTGAAAAACGATACTTGGAATTTACCTTCTGTGCAAAAGCAAGAAAGTAACAGCTTTTTCTGACCAAAGTCATAAGGAGTTCAACAAAACTATCAGTAAAATGTGAGGCTGCTTTTATCAAATTATGATGTGCAAACTTCAGGCAATTCAGTCTTGTGATGGAAAAGCATTCTGAAGTACAAACAACCATCTAATATTTGTTCAGCAAGTCATTCTGATAACAAACAACTGAAGTCAGACTCCTTAGTCTGAATATTTCCCATAGGGAATGTCTACTAAAATAAAATGTTTTCTTTATTAGCTAACCGCATGCTATGAGCTAGCTATACTTTTGCAAAGATATCATTTGAGTGCAACTTTATTAAATAAAAATTGCATGAGTATTTTGGTTTGTTGTGAGTTTATTGTATGTGTTTCATTTATTTTCAATAATATGTGATACAGTAGTGGAAGGGAAAATTAATCCTCCAAAGCCTTCTGTCTCTCTCTGTATATGTATTTCAGAAAGGTCATAGATATCATCTAATTTCTCGTAGTTTTACCTGTGGTATTTACTATAGGGTGTTTTTTGTATGTAATTTCTGGTAATGATGAACCTGGTTTGTTAGCTGGTTTGCTGCTGCTGTCTGCAGCAGCAGGGCTGCTGCTGTTAACAGTTTGTACATCTACTTCTTGACCTTGAAGGACTCCATCCTATCTGATTGTTCAGATAACGTATGTAATTACTGATATGTGTAGCATAAAATATAAAGATAATTTTAAAGAACAAAGCATATTTTGAAAGTAATCAGATTTTTCTATTGTGCTTCTGAATTAGTGGTATACTCAATGTTCTGGAATTCTTTGAAAAATATCTAAGTCCAAAGTGTGCTTATAGGACTTTTTTGCAATCTAGAATAGTGTTTAAAAAGAGTAGAGAAGAAATTAATGCTATGGTCCCACCTCTTAGTCCTGTATAAGCCCTGTTTTCTTGACTGAGACTTGCTAGAGTGATTTTTCTGCTATTTTGTTGCTGAGTCTCTTCAAAGAAAACTGCCACTGCTCCATGACCAACTTGCTCTTGAAATACCATCAGCATTCAGTGGAGAATGTTTGCATGCAACTCTGCCTTACATGTCCCCATTCTGTCTGGATGCCTCAGTAGGGAAGTGTGTTCCTAGGATCCAGTGATTTAGTCCATAATTTCTCTCCCTTTCCATTCCATAACACATGGAAATTGGATTAAACATTAAAATGTACCTAACCTGGGAATCCATCCCAATGCATTTCAGAGAAAGCCTGTAATCAGATTTTCCTGTCTTTCCTGGGACCGGTATGCTCCCCACTGTCTACAGCTGCTTCTCTGATCTCTTGTGTCTGTGATGATGAAAAAACCAGGGGTTTATCAGTGAGCCTTTTTATGTTTAGAAGAGGGTTTAAAGAGTTGATATTAAAACCATTTATTCTGAGGTATTTTGATGTAATTCAGTGTATCAGAATTAGAAACTTGTCCACTCTGCTCAAGCAGTTGATTAGGCCAATATGTAATAGTTACATTATATTAAGCCTCATACCATTGTAAACATCTGCCACAGTTAGAAATTGTCTTATCTATTAATTTGTCTTTATAATGCCATCAAACTGCTACAGTGTTATTGCAAATATAATAATTTCCAATTGTAATGACTTTAAAATGACTTCTGTAAGTTATTTTATAAGGGACTACCATTAATTTTAGACAACATATTATATGCAGATGCAGTGTCAATTATTTAAATATAATTGGTTGCAATAAATCAGTAGAAGAGACTGTATTTCTTGTCTTCTCCACCAGAAACCAATTTACTAACTTTTTAAGGTATAATATTCTTTCTGTTGTCCTAAAATTATCAGGAATAGATTCCAAAATCACTGTAACAAAAAGAGGGAAAAAAAAAAAACTAAGAAGAAAGTATCTTTTAAGTTCTTAACTGTCTAGTAAGGGATGCAAGATCCCAATTTGTGGAAAACCAAACATATTACTAATCCTGATTCAATAGCAATTACTTTAGAAAAGCACCTATATGCTTTATATATATAATTTTATTAGAAGAAATACTTTACCGCAAAGATTAAAATAATGAGTCAATTATACTTTATATTAAAATAAAAAAGGGAAAAATATTTATCCTTTAGAAAATTCCATATTGGTTTGTAAGTTTGTTGGGAATGTACATATAAAAAGGCTTTGAAAGGAACAAATCATTATTCATATCAGTAATAATTGAAAGAATCCTTAGAGAACATGATCAGTATGCCAGGTACCAAGAGAAATGTCATATTTTGTTGTCATGAAATAATAACTCCAACAGTTTCTAGAATGGAAATTTAAAAACCCCTTTTTTCCCCTCAAAAAGCACTAGTGAAACCATAACTCTTCCTGTGTTGTGGCTCTTGTACAGGTAGCATTTTGCTATGAACAAAACCAATTTTTGTAAATTATGAAGCTATTTACTTTATGCAGCTAGAGATGGTCTTTTCAAATTATAACTCCCCAAAATAGTGCCAGGAATAGCTATCTTCTGAAAAACTCATGTTTTTATCTTTAATACGGTGATAGTATGTAATTTAGCTTCTTGTTTAGCAGTTTAGTGCCAACATAGAAAACCTACCTATAGGACCTCACAAGGAGGCTTAAGTTGCTTTTTCTTGAAAGGTCTAGAATTATGAAGACAGGAACTGATAATTCTTTATATTTTAGTCTTTGTTTCAGACACTTGATATATCTAAGTAACACCAAGGTTAGACCCAAATCACAAATGAATTCTCTTCACCTTATATCAATTTCTACCAGTGAAGGGAAATGGCTGCCAACACATGACGACAACTTAAGAGGAATGAAAAGTTTTGGAAGATTTCAGAGAACAAATACTTACGTAATCTCCACAATACATTCTGATAAGAGTCTTCAAATTCTGTTGAGATGGAGTAGTAGCTTCCTTAACTAAAAAGAGTAAATACAGTTGTTATAGTAAAACCTTGTTCTGTTTTGGGGATTTGTGAGAAGCCATCCAATCACACTGAAACCAAGTACATTAGGCTCCAAAGTGACAATGAAGCAGAACCTTGGTACCTTGTGTCCTTGGGCTTTATAGATACACTGTGTGCTTAGTCATTAACCATGCATTGGATAAGTGTGATTATAATGTAAGTAAACACAGTCACTACCCAACACCCTCTGTTGTGCTGTGTTGATTTTAGGAATCAGACTTCAGCTAGTCACAGGATGAAACACTCACCTACCAAAAGCGCTTGTGTTAATAATTTACTTTTCAGATTGAATCTGGTCTAGTTCCTTTTTTTCATCCTTGTGCTGAAATTGCACAGCTCATCACTTGCTCTAGTATCTATTTGTAGCTGGCATGCACAGGAAGATGCTTTATAGCCTTTATATATCGCCGAAATAATCAGGTAGCCTTAGTGGAACTCTGTAAATAAGGATCTTTTAATGCAAGTTAGAACTTGGAAAATCCTGCAAAGAGCTGATCAAAAATCCTGTACTGTTGCTCTATCCAAGGACTTATACAGAATCCTAACTATCCAACTAACAGTAATCTCATTTTTCATAGCTTGTACCATATTTTTCTGCTTATAACTATTATTGTAATAAACCATTGATAAAACATGTAGGGTTTTCACACATACGAAAGGAATATAAAATAGAGGAACATAAAAATAGAGGTGCAGAATCATTCTGTGTATCCTCTCCTGCAACTTGAATGGAAGGTATAGGCTACTGTTATCCTGACTGAGACCATTTTAGAGGGATAATATTTTCCAGTAGTTGTACAGTTACAGTAGCTCAGAATTAAATTACTCCAAATTTTCTTGGTGTTCTTAATGTATCTATTGCAGACTTGGGAGCACTTATTAAAACATGCATGGAGATTTTTTCCTTATAATTTAGGAAGACTTTGAAAAAAATAAAAAAATACTTTTTCTTGTAGCTGTAATACCTTAGCAGCTCTTTTAATTATTTAAAGCTTTCTCTGGATAAACCTACCAGTATTGATTTGAGTATAAGCTTTTTCATGTCAGCCCATGTTATGTGTAAAGGCGTCTTTAGAAACAGCTGGAAGATTTTCACAAAGAAACACATAAAGCATAGGCTTCACAGTGGTATGCCTTTACTTTCTCTTTTTTTTTTTTTTTTTTTTTTTTGTTGGGGCTGTGGTAGATGTTTTACTTATTGTAATTGTACCAAGTACATACTTTATCTCTGTATCTCGAGTGCCCTTTGAGGGTGGCTGGGGAATGCAGTTCCATTGTAGAGGTAAAAAAAATATCCGTAATTGGTCTGGCTGGTTAAAGGTGCTGAAGATGTTGCCCAGAGTAGGATTCAACCCCCCGATGTTACATATTTTAAAGCAGTAATAAGAATAAAAGAATATTAAGCCCATTTTTTTTTTACAGACTCTTAATTTTGTGTCTGTATTCTTGCTGTGATTAAATGAAGTACAGTTAATTTTCTGTACAACAGAAAACAGATTGAGTTTACAGGATTATATTTCAGTCTGCATGTGCCCAAATCTTTAAGAACAATAGGTTGTAAATAAATAGTCAAAGCCTTTTTTTCTATGAAATAGTCATACCTGACATATAATGTGATGAAAGCACCTAATTACTGAAATAGTCTATTTTTAATGAGTATTTTAATGTGAGAGAGTCTAGAGAAAATGGGAGAAAGGTTTTAACCTCCTTATCCCTTAGAATGTCCTTTGGATGTGCTTTCCTGCCTTCTCTCTCCCAAGGTGGCAGGCAGGGCTTACCAACAAGGAAACGAATAACATATTTGTTCATGTAATTGAGCAAAATGGATTTAGTGTTTAGAGTGAGCCACACCTTCACATTTTCTTCAAGACTCAGTAGGTCAGAGGTGTGAGGTGTTTCTCGGGGAGGAGTTTATCCTGTTTTAGGGAGAGCCAAAGAAGCTGTGTTCTCAGGGGTTTTGGCAATCTCACTTCTGGGAAAAAAAGAAAAAAACTGACTACTTGGAAATACTGCAGAAGAGTGTAGCAAGAATTACTTACAGACAGGAAACACTTGGGTTTTATAAAGAACAGTGCAGGAGACCTTAAAAGTTGGAGGAAATAAAAGATCTTGAAAGGGCAAGGGAAAAAAAAGTTTTGAGTTCACAATGAACTGGACAGATTAAGGCCTATTTTGGTGTTTCACCTCTATTTAATCTTTGCGATTCTCTCACTGTTGCCAGGTAAAGTTTTCATTACTGTTCTGGGTACTTGCTTGCTCTCCTTCATTCCTCTTTTTCCTGTTTCTATTCTTAGTTATTTTTCTTGTCATTTTGTTATGTGTTCTTTTTTTGGACGGTCTTAATTATTTTCTGTTGAAGCAAGAAGGGGCTGGTTCCTCTTTTTCAGGTCCCTACAACCAATGGAATTTTTCTTGTGTGCTAAAGTTTCTTCCCCTGTCCTGTTCATTAATATGCTTAGGCTTAAACAATGCAACTGACAATTTCCAGGTGGTTTTAATGGAAACCTTGAGTAAAAATAATGAAATATAATCAACTTTTATTAGGGATTCATCTAAAAATTATGATATATTTAAAGTGAGAAATAAATATTATTAAATAGGAAATTATTCTATTTGTTTTCCCTGAAAATTAGCTTCCAGTGTATCAGTTGCATATAAATTACAAACAAAATTCACATTATTGGTATAATAATCTTCAGGTATTGCTCTGGAGTAGTCAAATAATTGAAATGTTTGTTCAGTATTACTGCAGCTGCAAGCAGTAAATTATGGGACCTTGTGCTGCTGAGTATGTAACTTCTATGGTGGAATGAAAATCTGAATACAACTGGAACTGGTATAATTTCTAGCTCTTACCAGACCGCAGAATGTGTGAGCATGGTACAGAGCTCAAGAAGAAGGGGTGGAAAGGTAATCTCTAACTCTAGTGTAGCACTAACAGCCTTGGGCATTTAAAAAAAAATGTCTCTGGGAGCTTGTGTAGAATGTGTGGAGTGTGTTATTCACCATGATTAAATGAAATGTTTGATGTCAAATATCTTAATGCAGTGAATCTCTGTAGGACCTATGACTCAAATTTTAAATTTTGCAACTCTTAAGTCTTTATATTGCTTAAAGAACTTGGACACTTACTACCTGTCAACTCCCCTTACTGCTGCAAGGGCCAAGTTCTTTCTGAGAAGAGCTCTGGGCACAATATGTGTACACAGGCGGCAATTGAGATGCTTTCAGAAAAGGAAATGAAGTCTTGTGATTTCAATGAGGATCAATTTGGTAAGCTTTGGTCCATATCCCTTCACTTCATGGCATCCCATGCCTTTTGATGGTTTTCATTTTGACAAATATATTTTAATTTTGTTTTTCAAGTATCCATGTCATCTCATTCATATATTCCCTTCTATATTCTATCATCATATATGATTTTTCCCCCTGATTTTGCAGCATCTGTGAGGTTAGTTTTGGCATGCTTTGGTCCGTCCTTTCCACTGCAACTCATTTCGTCCCAGTCCATTTGATTGTAGCCACTAAATTTCCAAATTTTCTTTTTATTTTCAGTTGCATTTCATTTCTTTCCAAAGTGTTTGAAGGGCTTTGCTTTTAGTTTTCAAGATTTCATTTCCTTTTGTGAAAGGAACTGTGAGGCCTATGGTGCTGTGCCGTGCCTTGGGAAGGTGACTGCCAGTTCCCATTTGGGATATAGCCTTTGACAGAAGGCTGACCACATGAGGTGATGGACTATTGAAGAAGACAGTGGGTAATGAGAGGTAGTAGTGGGTGTAGCTTTATAGAAACAGCAGAAGCACAAAGACTTTGACTGTAAAATTCTGGTTTCACTATCGTGTCAATATAATTTAGAATTGCTTTTTCTATGTTTTTCTGGTTTCTGCAGTTTGGCACGAGTGTAAAAAACCTGAAAAAATCCTTGGGCCTACAGACTGCTTCTTAGTCCTGAATGTCACTGAATTGGATACTGGGGAATTATGCTAAGCTTGCACTGATGTTTTTGACTTTCTGGAATTATTCACTAAATATAAATATATTCACCATAAAAAGGAAATATATGTATGAACTAAGATGGATTGCTCCTGACATAGAAAACCTGGCTGTAGTCCAGCACAATATGAGCTATTTCTTTAGTGGCTTTTTTTAAAATGAGGGTTAGTTGTTCATAAGTTGGTTGGGCAGGAGAGTTAGGATTTTTTTTGGAGAGAATTATTTTTACCTGAGACAAATGTAAAATTAGAGAATATATAGAATATATCTATGATGTGTTCAGGAAGTTATATAGTGAGTTAGTGGAAATATGACTGAGAGGAAATTAGTCTTCCTAGGAGTTTTTTTTTCTGCTTAAGCAGAATTGTTCTAAATACTATTTAAGAGTCTCTTGGATGTTTATCATAGTGTTGAAAAGTGCCTTGTTTTTTTTTAATTTACCAAACTAACTTTTACTAGAGAGCCATAGTAGAAGAGAAAGGCATTCCTTTGCAAAGATACACAAAAAGGAAAAAATAAGAAAATTAAATAAACTGCATAATTATCCTGGCAGCAAGGTTCCTAAAGCTGCTGCCTAAAATATTACTGCAAAATGGCAGGGAAATGGATACCAAATTTCTTCAATACTAATTTGTGTAGATGGCAGCAGTGTTTCATATCATTCTTCATACAATGGTATTCCAGTTTAGATTTAATATGGTTTTATGGAAATACAAGGATGAACTTTTAGTTCTGATTAACAGAGTATTTTATTACTAGCTTTATTAATTTCATGGCATATGAATTGTAGACATGCTACTTACTCAATAAGAGTTTCAAAACTAAATCAGATAATTATAGATATATAATTTACTGAAAGCACTTGAAGGATTTGATGTTTTTATGAAGAGCATTTAAGAATTTAGCTATACAATGAAATGTTCATTGTGCTCCCATAGTAGATTACTTTTTAAATGAAATGTATACAAATAAAATATTACATTGTGAATTTGGGCAATTTGTTAAGCCCAGATATGTTTGGAAGATGTTGCTCTAACTTTCTATGTCAATCGTGATTTAAATGTTGTTAAGTCTTATCACGTGTCGGGAGTTATGCCA